TCGGGTTACAAGCCAGAACCGGTGCTGCAGGACGGTCGAACGCGGACAACGAAGCAACTGAACACGGAGGCGGCGGCGCATAGGGCGTCCCATCTCTTCCAGAAGGAGAAGGATTGCCTCGGTCTTGGTCTCGGGATAGGCGTCGGTGTCGGCGTCATTGAGAGTGCCAAGAGGTCGTCGGTGTTCGCGAGTAACACGACGACGGACAGTTGTTGCGCGGCGGAAGCAGCGTTGCTTAAGAGGCCGACCACTATCACGGAGGGTGGCAGTGGTCCACCGGGTAGCGGTGGGGGCGCTACCGAGACCGGCTGTGGGGTTTACGTGATAGACGATCATTACAGGCACGACGCGTCGTTGGCGGCTACGCTCGCGACGGAAGTGTAGTTTCGTCTACCCGCAGAGCCAGCCGACCAACTCTGGACTCTCTTATTATTATAATACCTTTCTCTTCCTCGCGATGAAAGCTGTGTAACCCCGTGACTCACGCGCACAAACTCTTGTGTTTCTCTTACGTTCGTCACTGTTCGCGTACCAACGCGACACCACACCACCATCGCCCTACCCCCGTGAAGGCTCTCCGTTATGGGCCAGCGGGTGAACGGGCGTGCATGCGTGCGTGCGTGCATACGTGCGTGTGTTCTCTTTGCGATTCCTTTGTTTCTCTCCCTCCCGTTGCGCAGGACGTCGCGCGTGAGAACGTTCCACCGGACTTTGCCAGCACGCTGGCAAGGAAGAAGTTGACGCGCGCGTTCCGCCGGACGATCGCGCGGACGATCCATGTCGACGGGGCGGACGACGGGGCTAGAGGAACGCGCGCACGCCTCTCTTCAGTCCTACGAAGAAGACGAAGAAGACGAAGAAGCAACGGAACGATAAGAAGACGATGAAGAAAATAAAATGAAGAGACTTTTAGTGAGGAGCTCGACGGTTGGAGCAAATGGAAAATATATATGTATAAAATATATATGTACGAAAATGCTGTGGAGGCGGACGATGGCGGATATCGTCGTCCGACCCGTTCTTAGGTATTAATATTATTATTATATCATGTCCGAAGCAAAACTTTGTACAGAACTAATTTATTATTATTGTTATTTACTATTATTACTATTTGCTATTATTATTATTATTCTAATTATTATTAATATTATTCTATCGTATCCCATTATCATTGTTCCGATAATTCTTTCTTTCTTTCTATTTTTTTTTTCTTTTCTTTCCTTTTCTTTTCATTTCTTTTCTCTATTTCGAATCGCGTGACTGAACTTTTCTCTCTCCGTGGCTAAGAGAGACGCGTTCGAGGATACTTACAATTTTTCTTTTTTGCGAGCGATAGCGATGCATCCCAGTGTGCATGCATCGAGAGTACGCGTGTCTGTCTGTCTGACTGTCTGTCTGAGTGATTGTGTTTCATATGTGTATATAGATATATATTATGTATATGTATATGTGTGTCCGTCTGTTCGCGCGAGCTAACTGTGAGAGATAGTAGACGAGTAACGAGTCGAGAGAGGAGAGCGTTTGTATGTACCGTGCGTATATAGTTACGAGCGAGAAAGTTTACGACGAATTAGGATTCAAACGATGTCGCCCCTTCGTGAGATTTTTTTTCGGCCTTTCGGGTAACGTTGTCTTTTTTTCGACGTACAACGAGATATCGGTTCTTTAATTTTATTTTTTTATTTTTTTTTTTGTTCGCCTCGTCCTCGGGGACGACGTCGCGCGGACCTAGACCCGAGGAGTTCGCGAGGAAAACGATTTCTGGATCGAGTCCCGAGATAATCTGACGAACAAACGAACACCGGAAGCACTGGAACAAACTCAGCCCGGCACTCTAGGATTCCCAGTTCTCCTCGCAACCCCATTGTGCCGGGTAGTCGAGCGCTTAACACTTAAATTCATGTTTTAGCCCTGAACCATCTATCCAATGATCACTAACAACCAGCTAGAGAGACGAGAAGTCGACGTTTCTTCGAATTTCGTCCCTCTCAGCGTACGCGTGATTCGATCCGGAAGTCGTCACTGCTCCTTCGACGAATCCCTCGCGCCGCGGACACCGCCCACCCCCTAATGGAATCTCACTAAAATCAAAATTCACGCTCGATTCCCGCCATAACGCCAACATTCTAAACCGTGTTTCTCTCTTTTTCTTTTGTAAAAAGTTTTTCAAAAGAAAGCCTACAGGAGATTCTTCCAAAGTATTCCTCATTAAAATCATCGAAATTTGAAAGGTATAGCAATGAATTTCTTTATCTTCTATCTTTACGTTTTAGTAACTTTTTAGGGGAAACGACCCGTAGGTTTTCCTTTGTTCAACTTTAGAAATCTTTTCGTGTGAGAGCCTCCGACGATACGACGCATCATACAGTGAAACATTACTCGCGATATGTATAAATACAGGTAAATAAATGAATATATAAATATATATAGATAGAAGAATATATATGAAAAATATATATATATATATATGTAAATGAGAAACCGGCGTCGTCAACGGCGTTTCGACGACGGGACGGGTTATTCCAGATTTTCGAGATCGAAGTTTGCGAGAAATCTTATTTTCCCAGGTGATCATATTTTTTAACACTTTGACAATCACCGTCACGTGGAATTTTTACACTATCATTCTCTACTATATTTTGTATTTATTGTATTATCTATATCTTCGAAGATGAAAAGGAACTTGAAATTTCAATATGCTCGTCAAAGTGTTAAAATTCAAATCAACCTCGATGCACCTTTTGCTATATATATATTGAAGAAGAATTTTACCTGTCATCGTTCTTTTAGTGACACCTTGATTGTTATGGAGGGCCACCTGAAACATAATCAAAGAAATGAATAATTTTAAATATTTCGCGGATTAAAAAAATAATCTATTTTCATAATTAAATTTGTCTAAAAAAAGGAAGAAAAGGAATTATTTTCTCGCCGACTTCGTCCACGAAAGCGCGAACAAATGACGATTATGTGTTGTTATCGCACGGTTGATGATAATTAATTTATTTATATGGATGATGCTGCCGAACAAACGGTAACGATGAACGATGCTGCTGTTTATTAACGATGTAACAATGATCGACAATTACACGAAAACACACACATACACGTACACACTACGACGCTACTTGTCCGATGATCAATTAACGCCGGTGGTGATAATATATTGCTGATAGTGATGATCACGATAATAATTGTAGAAACGTACGATGACGATGTAACGAATAAAGATTCGAATGATGTTCCTGTTAATAAATAATAATGATAATTAAATAAACGATTACGAGTCTACCAACACTAAGTCAGGTCATATTTTCTTTTTGTTTTTTTACTTTTTATTTTTTTTTTTTCGTTCTCGTTGGGAAGGGGAGTCTCGCTCGTGGGAAAAGTGAGAATAATTATCATCGAAATTTGTATAAATAAGAAGAGAATAAGTACAGCGTGGATCTAGATCGATTAAGCACCGATTAATCGATCGTTCATTCACCGGCGCCAACCTTGGCTGGCCGTAATTAAACGAGAATCACGTACGTATTAAAATGATTATAGTATATGGAATAGAATGTGTAATAAAGCTGTTGTCATCTTTTTGTACTTACATCTCTTTTCGATCAATAGTTATTCGACGTGGTTGCGAATCTTCCGTTGTCTCTTTTAAATCTTCCCGTTCATTCCTCGACTTCCTGTTTCTTTCGTAATTTATCATACTTGTTCCTTTCTTCCAAGTCACTTACCGTTTCCTTTCATTTTATTTTAACTTCTTCCAACAATTGTCCCGGAAACGAATCTCCTTTGTTTCTTTATTAGTGAGATGTATCGATACGTTTGCCAAGAATTAAACAATTAAATATATATTATATATGTGGAAAGATTCCTAACGATGTCCGCATTTCTCTGATTCCTGTATAAAAAAGAGACGTTAACTTAATGTTATGCATTATAAATATATATATATAGGGGCGTATATACACGTTGCAGATCTGTGTATATTTGTAGCGGAAACAAGTGTACAATGATTACGACTTTGCGATTACTATTACTATTTTTATCATTATTATTATTAATTATTTTATTATTCTTATCGTCAACGTGTAAATAGGAAACGAATTGTCAATGGGATGTCACGCGAACGACACCGACCGATCAATATTAATATTAAAAAAAGATAAACGAACGAATCTGTATGTTATGAATTTTCATCCCTCTGATAATTTATCCAATAATTTGGAAACCTTCGTTATGTATATCGAGACTCTGCTACGAGAGAGTTAAAAAAGAAAAACTAAATCACGTTCCAGGAGTTACGCAATGCGCGTTGAATCCTTAAAGGACGATCGCGAGCTCGCTATTTCCGTGGAGAAGATTCCGTTTAAGAACCCGAGACACGGATGAATCGCGACAAAGTAGCCGCGAACGTGGCCGCCTGTGGGAAGATCGAGAAAATGTAGAGAGAGAAAGAGAGGTCCGGCTCGATGAAGGAAGTCGCATCTTCTCGGAACGACGTCAGATTACTCTGATAAGGGGACAACGATTTTATGTAACCTCGATCGACGGCTGTTTGCATTAGAATTCAGGGGAATCGCGGCGAGCACCGTTCTGCTGCTGGAATAAATGGATTCAACGTCAATCTTCGAGTTACCCTATGGGAAAGTGATAACCACGTGTGGGGCATGATTTGAATTTTCGATTAGCATCTCTATACGAATCGGACAATTATCGATATCGTTTATTCGCGTAATACGAATGTGAATATCCACCGGCTATCATCGATTTATTCAGACCCCAATAGCGCATATTCATAAAACGCTTGATCAATATTTATGATCGCGTTAGATTTCACCTTCCAGCTATTATTATCTCTCATGAAATATTGATTCAGAAGGAACGGGACGAGAAACGGTATATCTCTGATAACCCTCCTCGTTATTAAAACTTTTAATATAATTCGATTAATTCGAGTAGAAAAATCGTACTAAGAAGAACTTACGATCGGCGATGAATCTAACTTCTCTTTTTTTTTCTTTTTTAAGAGTTTATCGTCGCATAACTTGTAAAGTTCTTTGAACGTCGAATGAAACAGGGACGCGATCCTACGAAGCTAAGTATTAGAAGATATTCTACGGGTATATACACGATATAAGCAGAAGCCAGGGAACCTCGTGAAAGTCGTCGAAGGAAGATCGTGGCCAAGCTACCCACGACTCATCGTGTCGTTATATACGCGCCGGTTATTACCTGCAGCTTCTCCGCTGCAAACCCATTACGACTGCCGTGGCATTCTTCCTCTCTCAATACCTATCTCGCTTATTTTCCATCATTCCCGTCTAGTTAATTAACATTTTTGCATCAGCATTTTTCAACGTCCACGGCGATACGTTCTTTTCCATGGATTCGTTTTCCCCGCTTCTCGGGAGAAATATTCGCGTTATAACGCGAGTCGAAAGAAATTTTCATCGGCTTATAAGTATCTGATGGAATCTACGAAAGGCAACGGGGCGAGAGTGTTGAATGGTCGGAAAGGGGATCGGCGGCCCGACGAAATCTGTCGCAATCGATCAGCAGAGATAGGATTGAATACGGGTCGTCGCGATTTCGTCGCGCTCCAACGATCCTGAAATTCTCACGTCGAATCGACGTCGGTAGGAAATTCTGCAGGAAATTTGGCGCCTACGTCCGTCGACGGTGATCGAAGCCGACGAAACGAGAAATTGTTTTCATTCGTCGAATCCGATCCTTTGAAAATTACTCATCGTCAAAGTAAACTCTTTCTCTCTCTCTGTTTTCAGTCTAACAAAACAATCGGCCCTTTAAACTTTCAACCGAAACTATGAAAATACTAACTCCATCGATTTCTTTGCAGGTATACTTCCAAGTTGCACGAAGAAACGCATGGAGGTGCATGCAGTCAAACGGCGCACACACTCGCACACGTAGACACCTACACACGTAGTTGCACACCGCTGCATCTCCGATACGTCGTCTTTCGCGAGACTTTCACTTGCCCTCCGGTTTGGTGCATCGGCGTGCAGAGTTTACAGCCACGTGATACGGCGTTAAGGATCTTCTTCCTTCTCCCTCTCCGCTCTATTTCTGAGCTTGATCCGCTTCTTCCTCGATGCATCGTGTATACACAGTCGTGTATCGTAAGTCGACCATCGCGTATCTCCTCGCTTTTCCACGTATCGTAGACGCGGATCGTTCCTTTCTTTTTTCTCTTTCCAGATTCATGATCGCGTTTCTTAATTGAAGATGCCCAACGGCGTTTACGGGAAACAGATAATGGAGAATTAAGAAGCGTTAAGTTTCCCCTAGTTTCGCTTGGCATATTATTCATGGATTAATCTAATGTATTCTTAATTGTACTTCATTTAATTGTTACCGTGTTGAATAGTAACTAAGAAAAGTAAAGTTGAAATAGGGATTTTTTGATAATATTTTGTTTCAGAAATATATATTCTACGGTCCATCTTCTTCGTAGAAATTACAAACATCGGCCTCGCGCTTCCTTCGAGGATGTTTAATGCCACAGTGATATTCTTTTACTAATTGTAACTTTATTTCAGGTACTGGACATCCGCTTGTTCGGTGGGACGGGCTTAATCAAACGGAGCAGGAGTAAATCTCGGTGTACGCGCCAAAAACATCAGCGACCGCTTCCGGTCGGTTCCAGGTACTCTTTCCAGGTGCATTGCGACGTTGCAGCTCGGTGCACCGGGTCAAACAAGAGCATTCGGCGAGGAAAGAGGACAGCTCTTTCACAAGGGTGATGCGCGGAGAGGCGGTACCAGGGAAAAAAAATTAATTGGGCGGATGTAATCCGATCGATTCCCACGATTCGACTATGCGCCCCGCTTGTATACGCGATGTACGTACGAATCGATCCGGTCCATTATCGTCGATAACCGGTATACATACTTGTGCCGGTTCTTTTCAGAGACCGACCGATTACTTCTTTTCCATCAACAACGGACATCCGCACCTCTCGAAATTTCATTTGGTACACGTTCGAATTAGGTAACGACCGGAGTAAGTACATCTTTCTTTCTTTAGTTTTCTTTTATTAAGTATAATTGTAACAAGGTAATCGGACTGTCATAAAAGTTGCTTCGTCCTTTCATTAACGAGATGGTAAAACTGTTAATTACCTATAATGAAATACGATGAAAGCATTCATCGAATTTACCGAGTCATTAAATTTCTTAATGTCGGATCGATTTTTACGGCTCCATCGGGCTCGTTTTTTCTTTCTTTCTCTCTTTCTTTTTTACAAGCCAACGGAAATTCGCTCGAGTTGCCCGATACGAGGTTAATGCGCCGCCAATATAACAGCGCGCCTCTAACAACCGAATCGTTGATCGTTTTCCCATTTCTAAGCGGCCTGATGCTCGCGTATATCGATTCGACCCTAATAACCGGAATAATTCTAGCCACCTCGTGAAAGCGACCACCTAACGCTCCCATTTATCGGCTGAATTTTTCTTCTCTTTTTTTTTTTTCTTTTCTTCCCCTCCGACCCAAGACACCCCTTGTCAGTGCGCATAATGCCCTTCGTGCTTGAAAACGAAGTAGAAAAAGTGCTGTTAAACGTTTGAATCGTACGAGATACGAATCGTTGGTTGATTAATGCAATTTGTAATATTGTTACGGCGCGGAGGGTAATTAGAGAGACGCACGTCCCTGTGAACTTCTTCGCAGCGCAATAAATACTAGTCCGCCGGCACGTACCGCCAGGAATACTCACGTGGCGCCAATACGAGCTTCGCGAGCTTAATTATAGTCGGTTGATTAGAATGCACCGGCAGGAGAACCGCAGCAACGGTGGCTCGCGAGGTACAAGTGCAACGGTGCACCTTTCCTTTTGCGTTCGTACCTCTCGCCTCGATTCCCTTCCACGTTGGCCTCGGATTTTTGCAAACCCGACATTCAGGCGACAATCGTTCCCCTGGAATAACGCGTATCGTTAAAAACATCACAATGAAACGGTGTTTGCCGATACATTATTTTTATCCGCTGCACATCGGACAGACAAAAGATTGTTTTGCTGATTTTAATGATTCAGTTGTATTCATCCATCTGATGTATTATGCATTGGATGGTTTAATAAGCTTAATGAGAATATCCTTTTCAATATTCATGATGGCAGGATAATTAACCGTTTCCATACTTTATAGGTAAATGTTTCATGAATTTTCAGTGTTTAAACAATAACAGCACAGAGCCTGTTGAACATAGCCTACCCCTTTAGAAAGAAAGAAAACGTGTTTACGTTATTATCCTCTATTCTTCTCAGCTAATCCTTTAATTCCTCTAATTGAATCTAGATTCTATTCAGTTCATCGAACTTCACCGCTCGAATCACTAGTCCTCTAAACATCCCTGAAATCATAAATAGTGCATGAACCATCGGGCATTTGATCGGAAGTGATTTGTATCGGACAGACGACAAACAGGTAGCTGTTTCAGCTACCTGTTTGTCGGTGATTCGTTGGAAGAAGGCGTCCGCCAGTTCCGGCAACGTAACGATCCCTTTTTCGTTCGGACGATCCTGTTCGACCGCTCACTCGCTCTATTCCGCTCGATTCTTTCTGACATTTGGAGCTCTCCGTTGCCTTATACACACCTTCGCACGCAGGTATGCAGAGAGCACCGGCCTCCTACACCTTCTCCACGAGAGCTGCATGCCCTCCCCTTTCGTGTCGTACGTTTAAGTGATCGAACCTTAACGGTCTACCGGCGCCGCGGTCGGCTTTACCTAGATTCTAAGCGTACGTACAGGTACGCTTCGAACATAGATAGAAAGAGAGAGAGAGAGAGAGAGAGAGGAGGATAGGATACTACCGGCAAGGGTCAACTCTCCGGGACCCTCGTCGTTCTTTTCGTCGGCAGGATGTGTGCGCATGCGGTTGATATCCTTTGACCTTACCGCTATCTAGAGACACGAATTTCGATTTGCTTCCCTCCTGTCACTAATTGAAATTTTAATTATATTATTTTCGACCTGTCAATTGTACAGGTCCTTGATGAAGATTTACCGTAGAAATTAATTCAAATATTCCTAGTAACGGAATTTTTATACCGTTCCTGATACACGAAAATCCTGTGTAATTTCGTTAATCGGCCTCGGACAATTTTGTTTTTTCGTACGATTGCCACGTAATTTCGCTGGTAAGCGTTCGTGTTGCATATAAGTACGACGGCTGTTAGCTGGCAACGCGTCCCTGGGTGTATAATTTAGATCGTTTTTAACATTCCGTTTTTACCTGCCAGGTACACACTGTCGTGGAGATTACTGTAAGAGGTCAAGTATAGCGGATGCTCGAGGATTTTTTCGCAGATGGGATGCGTGTACGCGGGGCATGCAGGTGATATCCTTTGACCTTACCGGTACTGAACAGGCTCTAATGCGGGCTCGAGTTTGGCTTCTAACTGTGGATAGATTTTATTCTATCATCTAAAATATTAATCGGGTTTCAGATACTTTATTAAATAATTTCAAGTGATATTGGAACTCTAGAATATGGATACCTATCTTTCACGAATCTTTAACATCCAAGATAGATTTTGATCTATGAAAGTAAAAAGTTTTTCATTGTCATTGGAAACAAAGAGAGGTCTCTGTAACAAAGAGTTCTAGTAAAAGCGTGGAATTGAACAGTACCATTAGAAATAAAAATAGAGACATAGGCAAGGTCTCTCCCTCGCAATCAATCAAAGCGTCATTACAACAGTAGAAACTATACTAGGTGGAATGATTAGCAAGCCAGACGATGCTTCGATCGATAGAACATCAATTAAGTAACAATTATACTTACAACAACTGATGTCTATCTCTGATACTTGATATAAGAAAATCTAACTGTTTCACTTTTCAGCTAAGGTTCAACACTGTCTTTTAAGGAAACGACTTGCATCCAATTGTCGAGTAGCATCCATTTACGAAAAAACAAGTGCGAGATGATGAAGAGGAGATGAAAGACCGGAGGATGCAACGATGCAACGATGCAAAGGTATACGATGCAGCAAGGTACAGCACGGTACGGCACGGTACGTTCACCAATGACCGAGTGGCACGGATCTTCTTCCATCCTTTCCTCTCTTCTCTCATCTCCCCGTCGTGCAAACACTCTCTGTACACACACGTGTGTTTATATATGTATATGCACGTTTGAATATAGTGTGCGACCATGTGTACTTAGATCCACCGTAAACCTATCCCCGGTCGAATGCAACGCTTGAATATTTCCAGCGGCTCTCTTTGCTGGTATATTAATAGTTCTTACTTTGAGCGTGATATCAGACTTCTTAACGACCGGTGTGATTTTCACTAGAGAGCCAGAAGTCATCGACGTTTTTAATTCAACTCGATCGTAGCCTGATCGAGCCCTACTTAAAGTTGATTCACTGCCAGATAGTCTTCCTTTGATCTTTCAAATTAAATGCCGAAATAAAAGAATAGAAGGAGGGTCTGATTGCTTGAAAATTCAAGGTACAATTTTCAAATTTAATTATGGAAATACTATTTATGGTACATCAGCCTCCATCGAATAAACGATGATGATGATAAAGATTAGAAGGAAGAAAGTGTCGACCGGTTGTGAAGGCTAGAAAATGAAAAAAAAAAAATCTTGATATGTAATTGGTGAAGAAGAATTTCTTAGGGGGACAGCAGGCAAGTCGAATGGACGTTCGCTTCGCGGGGAGCCCGAGCCGCGGAAATCAAACGGAATTCCACTTGCATTGCGTTACGCCGCATTCTCCGCGATCGGAGGCTCTTTTGTACTTTCTAATTACGCGTTGGTTTCTCATTCGTCGTGAAGGTGCCACGTAACGGACGAGCCGTCACGATAACACGGACCGATGATTTTTTTCGTAACAGCTCGCCCGATTATTTCGGAACGTGAATTTTCTCCTTGGAAATTTTTCTTCGCAAGAGACTTCTAACGTGTTACTTCTAATGCTATAAACTTAATTCAATCGTTAAAACTCTTCGAGATTCCTCCTCGACGTATTCTTACGATCATTCGACGAGAAACGTGACAGTGTTTCCATTAAAAGTAATCGTAGAAACGTTTCTTCTGTACAAGTCGAATCAACGCGTGGTGTTAAAACATCAACCATTGTGTCATAACGTTGCGAGCCGGTGAAATTGCAGAGGTGAAGAAGGGTCTGTCGAGGCATAGAAAATCGCTGGCGATGAAGCGGAATTACGAGGAGACGGGTTGCACACGTTCGCCCACCTTGAAAACGAGAAGAAAGACACCGACGCATCGCCGGCATTCATCGGCTCCTACGAATTAATCCTATTATAGCGGTAAGCCTCACCTTCCTCATCGTCATTGGCCTCGGCGACGTTCGACGACAACATCGTCGTCGTCGTCGTCGGCGTCGATCCCACACCGCGTGCGAAGGCGAGCCATTTACGTAATGGACCGGAGGTTCCGTTTGTTTATGTAATCAGATCCCTCAGAAACTGGCAGAGAATGGTTCGACAATTTTGCAATGATCGGTATCGTGCCTTACAGTCTACCTTTTTAAGTTCGTCGTCAAAAATACAGCCTTTAATCCTTTGAAAAAAAAGAAAATCTTACCGATAATTTATACGTCGGCATTATATGTCCTCGTAAATATGAATCGCACCGTTGGCAAATCACGCTCACCATAAAGAGAACGCATCCACTCGATTCTCGAGCGGGTTACAATCACCGCTTCCAATAATAAAAAATCGTATGTAACAGCGGCGATTACGCCTGATGGGATCACCTTCGGCGATCCGATCTTCTCGCGCCTGATCATTCAGGGACAATCGATACATAGTTTTCTCATAATCGCGTTACCGACGCCGTCGAATCGAATCCGCGCCGCTCGTTGCCGCGGTCGTCGATGCGTAAACGCGTGTCCTTCGACGTCAATAACAAGGATAATGGTATCCACCCGGTTAAAAATGCCCGGGGAATTGTGCGGCACCGTTTTTCTGGAATCTCATTTCGCACGGTATCCACCTTTTTTATCTTTCAAATATTCCTCTCCTAGTTAATTAACCAACTGTCGTCTAGTATGCGATGAGAATGGGACCGGATAAAATGCCCGAGGGTTTGAGCGTTCATTTTCAATATCACACTTTGATGTACAACTTGTACGAGATCGTTTTACCAGGTTAGTTCCGAGAGTGAACTTTCTAAGATCAAGATTGAAGTTGTTTCGAAGATTAATACCCGGTCCCGAGGGGTTAATGTATCCTGAACGTCACAATGGCACATAAACGTCACATCAACCGGTCGGTAAAAGCCGGTAAACAGGCAGAGCCGCCGGGAACAAAGTAATCCGGAGGTAGTCCGCTACGAAACGGAAGAATTCATCTGACTGACTTCGTGACCCTAAAGCCTAGGGAGAGAGAGCAGACCCGGATTTCCCATTAGGCTAATCATTAGGCCGCGGGCGCACGATCCTGAAGCATATACATACGTAATCTTCCTGAATGCACCGATTAAGGCGAAATCGGTAAACGTTCTTTTTTCTTTGTTTCCTCAATGGACTAGCTGTTGGTGAATAATTTTGGCGGGAAACTGTCCTTCCCTATACCGTTGATACCAAGGATCCTTCCGGAGAGTCGGCGACGCACGGTACTTAGGCTGTCGACTCCTAAGATATCCAAGATACTCGATAATTTTTTCCCTTCGTCAACTCGCTGTTGTATGAATTTACATGTGTCTGCTACTTCCAAGGATTTAATATATTCAAAGTTCTCAGGAGTAGCCTGTCGTGATACGAAAACGGTCAGGAACATAGACGGCTAGTTTCTAATATAATAATTGCCGATGCGTGAGCTGGCCCAAAGCTATTCCTTTTTTCTACCGTTCGGTCCATCCTCGGTCTGAATTTAAACGCCGGAAGCGGGAGCAACGTGCTGGAACCTTAATAGCTCGTCGAAAGAGCAGCCTCGAGGCTTCGACGAGGAGTCTTCGACATCCTAGGTCAAGGTTCTAATAAATCATTCGAACCAATCTGAATGGTCGAACGTTTCACAATCGAATTCCATTGATCACCAATTATCGTTATTTAAAATTCTCCACCAGATTAATTCGTCAAAACAGACGAGTCTATAAAACTTGAGAAACTATTCAGCTATCCTTGCTACGGTATCATCTATGATCCTACGGATGAACATCCTAGCGCGACTTTGTCGCCCTCGGTACCGTTAGAAAACTTGTATATGTATATCCAGGTATCAACTGGTGTCCCTGTACATATATTGCTGTACAGTCAGAGTAAGAAGAATCTGTAATGTTCGGATAGCGTTGTCTAAAGTGGTTAAAATCGAAGGAAACGTTTCTGCAGGTAGCCCATAGCTACAGGGGGAATGTTGCATTTCCGCGTGTCTCTCGCCTTCTCTTGCGAGATAAAGAACGGCTTACGTGACTGGGTTAGGACAAGGATGACGTGGTCACGGGTTAGCCGGAGAGGTTACACGAAGCTCGTCGACGAGTTGGCTAGTAGCCGACTGGCTATTGGTAAATTGCGACTTCGAGGAGCCAACGGTTGCTGCTTCTTCTTCCTTCTTGCCGTCTTTCGTCCGCTGACACGGAGAAGAAGATACCGATACCGATGCAGGAAGAGGAGGTGAACAACTTTCACGCGACCAGGAGCTTCTTCGTATCGGAATGCATCGGGAGGTCCGCCTCCCCAGGGAAAAGAAGTCTCCTCCCCCTCCGCTAGGCTGTTTTAATTGCAAATTTCCCCTTGCAAATTGTTCAACGCTACCGCTGTCGTTCTCCCGCAAAAATAGATATCTATCGAACTTATATTTTTGTTCGTTTAGGTAACACGTGTATCGCGGGTGAAAAATAGGGCAAGAGGAGGAAAAAAGGGCCTGGTTTCAGCGGCAGCCTCTTGTACAAGAAGTAATGAACTTCAATTACGACGCTGCCGCGTTTCCATGATACCGGGACCGGGTAATAAGCTTTGAAAGTAACAAGGAGTTAAGTGATTCCAGTCGGCCGGTACTGTGCGCGCGAAGATGCAGAGAACTTTATGACGCAATGGCAAAGGTATGCGTGGAATTTTATGGTAATTCCGATTTAATAGCGAATTTTTCGTAGCACATGAAAAACCATCAACATGCAAACGAACGGTCAAACTTATTCTTTCCTTGTTAATTTTCAACCGCGAAACGATAATTAAACAAATGTCCCTTCAATTTGTGTGCCTTTTAAAGAATAATGCATTATAGAAAAAGAAATCGATGCACAATGGCTCCGAGATGATGCATCGGTCGCGATAAGGTAAATACGACAAATCATCTGACATCGAACCGAAATGGCAAGTTCACGGTGATGAAAGGGCCCAGCATCGCTAGCCGATGAAAGAACAGGTACCCGAAACGGTACCGGTACCGGACACGGTGTGCGGCAGGTGGATGACGCAAGCGGGATGACTCTACTTATGGTTATCCCCTCCGAAAAGGCAGTCTCCTTTCTGCGAGAGGTACTTTACAGCTGACACCTCGCATCTTTCTATCTCGCAGGCTCCCTCGTTTGCGCGATGTCGGCTCTCTCGAGTAAGAATTCGTGTACGTATACACCTTTTATACCATGCAAATTGCTTCCCGTTCCTCCCTTGATATATTTAAGAATTATCATCTCTGATCGCCTATCATTAACTCGGCCTCCTTCGTTTCTCTCCTCTTCACCGATCTCCGACGTCGACTCGTTCGATTTCATCTGCTCGTTATTTATGAAACGTCGTGGACCCAGGAAAAAAGTTGCACGCGCGAGATTGATTCGACGCGCCCGTACGAATGGATATTTTTGAAATACGACGGAATCTATAGTGAAATATAAAACGAACGGAAATCGTACGGTACGTCATCGTTGGATTTATTGTTTCTTTATCGAGCGGCTGGCGATCTACTCTGATAATTGCGCACCGTGTAAAACGATATTAAAGGGATAGCGTTTCACGAACGTAGCAGGTGATAAGTAGGTTGCTACCCCGTAAATTTATGTGAACCTCGCGAGCCACGTTCTTCCTCGTTATTAACTGGGCATACGCGAGTCTGTCCGTGAATGATCTATTTACCGATCGATATACCAACTTCGACGAAGCGATTCTGAAATCGGGTCTCGTTCTCGTTTCTTTCCAACGTTATACCGTATCTATTCCCAATTATATCGATATAGAAGATTCATGGTTATTCCAAGGATCACTTCAGGGTCGTTGATATTTTCTAGTAACTGTTCTTCCAATGATCTATCATTGATAGGTTTGTCGTTAAAAGAAATTAAGGTCTATTCCCAATGGACCACCCTGTATAAAGGCTTATTGTACACAACCATTAAATGCACAATGGAATCGTTATCGTTAAACCCATCGTAGGCTAAAACAAGATAAATTATACAATTTATTTTCAGAGGATCGAGCGATGTATCACGGACGAAACTCGAGGCTCGCGTAGGTGCATCATGCAAAGCGTTAAGCAGAGATATTTCAATAGTGCACAACGAATATATACATAGACGGTCGTGTTGCCCACAGGCTTCGTTTGCCCCGACACAGAAACCTTTCTCTCTCATCTCCGGGCGCATCTACGCCGCTACGGTGCAACCAAGTGCAGTTAATTGATGCACCACCGCGTAATGACGTGGCTGAATGATCGACCGAGTGTACAATCAAACGACAATCACGTTTGCTTCAGAATTTCGTATGATTCATCCTACTACAGAATTTCCATATTCGTTTTTATATTCTTTTTATACGTCTCGCCACCAGTAGTGTCCATTCATGCGGTAATTCGCGCGAAGGTGATATACTATTTAAAAGTAGGATCAAGGGCTTCGCGTTTCATGGAATCCAACGTTCTTCTAATCTCTATGTTCCTTTCTGTATACCTGGAATAATATTATTTATAGAATTATAACGAAGTATCAATGATGTGAGAATCCGCGGAAATTAAGAAAGCGACGAGAGACGGCAAACTCTGATCTGCAACTTTCTTTTCTTTTTCCTTCGGTGTGTGCATGTTCGCGGGTCGCGACACTACGACTAATAAATCCGTGAATACGGTTAATTAATGCCGCGCGGTACAATAACGCGGCTAAATGATCAACGGCGCGCCGAGTTAATGATGCTAATGAGACAGTTTCAGCCGTATAATCTAATTTCATAGCATGGATCGTGTCAAGGCGCTTCCCATTTTTCTGGTACGCTCGTTGTTTCTTTTAATTAAGCTTCTATTTCTAACACGTTTGCAAGTAATTGCCAACGGAGGAGCCCTTTTACTTTCAATTTCATTGAAAGGAGCCTTCGTCGTCTGTTTTCCTCGGGCTGTTTCGATGATAACGTTTTAAAAAGTAAAAGACCCACGACGTGCAGGAAACAAGAACGTCTCTGGTGAAAGTTTTTTTTCTTTTCCTAGACGGAGGAACAAAGGGACAAGGCAATAATGACAAAATACCGCGTTCCTGATCTGCATCTGCCTGGCTATTATTCCAAAATTACGCACTGCCGGATAAATTTCAGAAGAAGCTCCTCTCGTGACTGATGGAACAATTGCCATCTGTCTTGTACAAGAAACCAGTCCTGTTTAATTATTTCTTTGCAAATGAAATCTCGTTGAATCAGCATGAATTAAAACGAAAAAAAAAAGGGAAGAATAATTAATAGATCAGAAAGAACGATAGTAGCTGTTGAATGAGTCATTAAAAATGGAAAAAAAAAAAACTTACACGCCAGTTTTAATGGCGCTTTAGAAATCTTACATTGTTAATCAAGTGCACGCAACCTAGACCGTATTCCGCGGCTATTCGAAGAGAGCGCACATCTGTTAATTCCGCGTTACAGCGGTCATTTCTGCAATTAAGAGGTTAAATCAGCGATCGACGCGTTTACCTCGGTGTCAGAAGCGAAAGGATTTCACTTGATAAAACGAGCGGTCCGCAAAAGGAGGCTGTCCGGTGGTTTATTGCCAGCTACCGCTCTCACGGTCGATAAAAACGGGCTGCTCGCTCGACAATGCGATGAATAATTGATTTCCCAGTTTCACTTTTTCGTGGATTACGCAACCGTAAGGGAATATAATTTAATTACTTATGGATAATCGACGTATCGCATGGTACGTAGAGTTTGAATCGTTCATGTGCTAAACGAGAGAACAACTTTCACTTATCGACCAGATTTTTATCCCGACAACCGCTCTTCCTCTTCTTTAATTAATCGTATGCGAGCGATTTTTATTCAACAACGCCTCGTTTTAAATTACTTCCTCTTCTACCAATGATTATCGTATAAAAGAAAAGATGAAAATTGGCTAACGTTAAAATGTCCTACGTTTCCTAGGTAATTTAAGGTACGAGTACCCCCTGTGGCTCGGGGGGCTTAGAATACGGCCACGGTATCCCCTGCCTGTCGTAAGAGGCGACTAAAAGGGGGATGTAAAGGTACAGAAAGAGTGTGAGATTTCAAAGTACGGACAAGTATGAGCGGAATTAAAAGTACAGAAGCATATTGAAAATGGCGCGATAATGCGCGTGGCCGATAACTTTTCGTTGGCAAAAAGGGACAGATCCAAGTCCCTAGATTACGCCATCCTTAATAGAAGGAAACTTAGGAAGTGAAGTGAAGGTACGAGTAAAACTTGATTACCCTTACAAATTGCATACATTGTTTGCAGGAACAAATTACGGCGTAACGCTTGCTTTTCTGTCCGTGAGTACTTGACACAATAACGTGACGGAAATCGCCATACCGGCAGTAAAGCATGTCGTGCTTTACGCCTTTTAAATCGGCCCACGGTCTCGTTACCCTTTTTTCCTTTTCTTTTTCCTTTATCGTAGACAGAAAAACGCGGGAAAACGTGCAACCTACAACACCGATTTCATTGCTGTGGAAATCCAATGACCATGAAGAATCAAGGAAACAATGCCGATATTCAATTTAACGGTGCATTAAAAGTAACAGCTTTCTAATCTTGTGCAGGTTTCTTGTCCGTGTTCGAAGTTTTCATAAAACTCGTTTGCTTTAGTTCGATCGATGCACGACAGTATCGGTAGTCGCGTCGGTATTATTCTTGTAGGAGGATCGATTTAAATATTTCTCGTGCACGATAAAATGAAAAGAAGAAACGCGTTTAATAACCGTGACCAGAGATATATATATAAAAGTAGTCAAGTTTTCCGCACGAAAGCAAACTCGTGGAAACCATCAGCGAGCGGAAACATATTTTCATCCTGGTCGCTTCTAGAATGATTATTTCTATCTCTTTACGCAATCTATGCGATGCTTCACACACTTATCATTCATAGCTCACACTGAAAATTAATTTTCTGATAAAAAATTCATAATAAATGATTATTTAAGATAGCATGAAAATTCAATTAATTTTTCACGATCTCATTGGTTCTGAATCTGCATAAATTTTTGCAGAAGAAATCTGCATAGGAAACAATCGCGTATCTTTGTCCTCTTATCTACAAGATACGGTCATGTGCAACTCAGATTTCCCTTAGTTAAGAAAAAGAGGAGGGGAAGGAATATTCCACAATGTACTTACCTCATTGCCCTTGTTCTTTATTTATGCAGATAGGGAGTTTTAAGTTAGGCTCTACCCGGTTTTTGCAAAAATAAATGGTGGGAGTTTTTTCTCTTACGCTTACCCCTTAACAATGATAGCCCGCAATACACCGGTGTACATTAATGAAATTACAGGACAACATACATGTAGTGAGGAGTAACGTTATCCCTGAGATACCTGGCTGACTTTATCGCCGCGATGCGTGACGAACGTTCGTTTACGTACGTTCCATAAAGAGCTTCACCAATTCTCTTCCTCTCCATTATTCCCTGTTGTCCACCAAACCTGGAATCGTACGAACCGCATATAAATATCAGCGTATATCGTGCAGCTTGGCGTGTCCGTAGAATTCTAAGTGGCTCTTGTTAGCCGCGTACCCGGTGAAACTCTTTTTTAACAAACCGTCAACTGCAAATAGAAGCTTCTTCGTCATTGATACCAACGAACTCGACGATACAATCGTTAATTGCAACCTTGTTTAAATTTCTGGGGCGGAGGAGGGGTTCGTATCTGTGGATTTTTTATCTTTAGAAATGGGAATATATGGTTTGATCATACGTTTTTAATACCGATTTTAACAAAAGAAGCAACGAATTGTCTAGATAATAAATTGGGCAAAATCCTTATGAAGAAGTTAACAACTCGTACGGGAACCAACTCGAGCGTGCACTCGTGCACGCTTCGTTTCGCTGAAATAATAACGAAGATCTTCGAGCCCCCCCCCCCCCCCGCCACATCGTCACGGCGTAACCAAGAATTCCATGTTCCTTTTTCCTCGTATTTTTACCGAAAATTATGAAAATCGTGCTATGCAAGCGTGCAGATGTTTTGCTCTCGTTTGCGCTTTCACGGCTAGTTTTAATTAATTACGAACAGTATTTACATCTCTACTTGTTGCAGTTGTTACCATAAAACATCGTAGAATAAGAACTGCTTTAAAGTTCTAAGAAATGTTGCAAAAGTGGGATAGAAGTACGTATGCGTCTGATTTAATCGGTAGTAGAATTAGAGCTGAAACGCGTTGCAAATTATTTTTTACATTACATGGAAATTATCTGGAAACAACGTTATTACATAAAATAATAGTAATTGAGAGTTCAAGCAGCGTTCCGTGTCTTGAATAGACTAATGTTCTTCCTTAATTTACTTCAGACATTGTACGTAATATTATTCTACAAATACTTATAAATGAATATGATGGCTTTTTCTTAAATTTTGTGCTGTTTAAATGTTTAAAACTTTTATCTTATAAAAATAATGAAGCTCATATTTATTGGCTAAGCATGAATATTAGTAGTCGATAAAGAAGAAAACTTGTACGGTAACCATTTAGACAATTACCTACTGCTGAGCATACTTCCGTCGGTAATGTATCTACGTTAGTAAATTACCGATTGGAAACTTTTTGTTTTGATACTTCGGACAATCGTTAGTAGATGGCGCCGATGAATCTGCAAAATGCGCCTCAATTTCAAATTTAAAAAAACAGATAAAAATAAGGTCATCTAGTGGCAGGAAACCACTTTAATTTAAAATAATATATACTGATATTTATTTTCTGGAATAGGGAATAAATAAAAAACAGTTTTAAAAAAAATTTCTTTAATGGCGACGCATTGATAATAATATATTTGTGTCTATTTTCATAAATTAGCTCGTTTCACGTGTGAAAATATAAAATTGTGCTATATTAATTTAAAACTAAAACAATTGTAGGAACGAGCACTTGCGCTAAACGTACTTTTTTATCAAGGCACGAGTTTGGCTATGAAAATATAGCCGAAAACAACAGTGCCGTAGTCAAACGTATATAAATGTACATTGTTAACACGAAGCTGCCGAGACATTACTCGTTACAATTCTTAAAATACATTCGTATCACAGCCAAATTATCCGGGAATAATGACTTTCCTTATTCAGTTCGCTATTCTCCGACGATACGAATGTTTCCGTATTAATATCTACGAAGGATAATTAAAAGTTTTTCTCGTGTTCTCGCCACGAATTACATATACGTGTCGTCTCTTTCTCCATCCAAATAAATATAACGAGCAACGGAATTATAAATACGATCTACATTTTGAGACAACGCAGAAGTTTATCAGGTACTTGTGAGATAAATTGGAAGGAATTCTCCCTGAGATTGTTGGCAGCGTCATTACCGACCAAATCGTTGCCCTCCTCATCCCTGACATCGATTTCAACATTCTCGAGGTCGATATTAAAGTCTCGGTCACCCATTAGCGTCGTGAGACACATATTTTTCTCTTTTATCCTCGAACGCACTAGCAGTTCCAGTGTGAACAGATGTTCGTCGTGAGCTTCTGGCAGATAACGGTGCATAAATTCTGCTAATCTGTGAACAATATAAAATGCGTAAGAATATCGTTTCGAGATATGCATTTTACGAGTACAAAAACCGATTGAATGTAATATCGCTATTAAGCTAACCGTAATAGATATTCAACATTGTGACCACTCGGTCCAGAACATTCGGAGATTTGTTTCGCTATGTGCTGTAGGGGCGCTTCGCCAAGCCAGTGCTCGTTTCTGTTAGTAGCTATATAAACGATGACAGGAAAGTTTCTGTTTCCTTCGCGGCCGTAAAATGCTGTAATCGTTGTCATATATCCTCCCAAAGTGCATTCACGATTTTCCAAATATGGTAGAGCCGCGTTATCCTGGACTTCAAACGCTCGCCCATAAACAATGCCCTGTTGACAAAGAAAATAGAGTTAATTTGGTCTGTGTGGCATCTCATTTACATATATAGAATGGTTAAGAATCACAATAAATATTTGTTCGGAAATAATTGAACATTGAAAGCAAACAAATTTATTTATCATGTAAGTCACGTTTCCATGAAATTACCTCTGTGTCCTCCACCAATGTAGCCACACGTCCAGGCTGCAACAGAAAAAGAATCATTGAACCAACGGTTGATGATTAATTTGAACAGAAATAAAGAAAAGAATGATTAGAAGCTTAGCAACTGGTATGACGTAAATATGTAACACGAATACAAGAAACAAAATTGTGTTCGAAAGATATCGGTTTCTACGAGCTGTAACTGGTTTCGCATTAATCGAATACTGATTGTAACAAGAAACCAGGAGAAATTCTAGTTAAAAAAAAATATAACGCACTTAGCTTTTAAATCAACTAAGTAAGTATAATCGTAATACTACCTTTCTTTATTCTATTTTATTTGCTTATAAATTTCTATGGGATTCTATAAACCCCCCACCATTTTCTTTGCGTCTCAAAATGACCGCCATTGCACTTACAGGTTAATGGAGTTCGTGGGGTAATTGCAAAGAGATCTATCTGGTGAACAATTCATAGGAAACAATGAACTCAATCCCTTAAATTTCATTGTATCAAGTGGAGAAATTGGAGCGACACACTATAGGTGAAACTCTATCCGATTTTCATTACTCTTAATAGAAACATCCGTAAGTACTTATTGACAATGAGGGGCTAATTCAGGAGCTTTACCGTCTACATGTAAGTATTATTTTTTTAAATATTATGCATTACTAGTACGTGTTATTTTTTTCTTTTTAGAAATATTACTTTGATTAATATTTTCATTAATACATTGGAAAGTTTTAATGTCAAGAGGAATCCCCTGTTTACGACGTGGCGTGGAAGCCTGCCAGAGTTTTGTGAAAGAATCCACGCGGCGAATTCATGAACACAAAAATTAAGGGTATAAATAGATTTGTTTGAGTCGTATGAAAAAGTATAAGCTTGGTTAGCGGATTTCATTCGAAAGAAATCAAAATTCATGGACAAATGAAAATCTGTAGCATTGTAAGTAATCTTTTTTTATATATTGAACCTTAGTATAATTTTGTGTCTTGTTATTTATGACGTTAAAATTTTTCAGTGTACACGATAATTGATTGGTACATCGGAAACACCGATCCATTTACGTCATTGGAGTTTTCAGCGTAACATTTCACGTGTTTGTTTATATTTACATTCTTGTTTAGAAGGTCACGCAAAAATACGAAGAAACGCCAATGAAATGAACTTACGTTTTCAAGTGTACCGCGATGGGTTGTGTTGCCTTGCCAGAATTTCCTGCTAAAGCCCTTTATGTATCCTACGATACTTCTTTTGTATTCGAAACCGGGATACCAGCACAGAGATCCGTATCCGAACACCCAGAGGCCCGTGTTCTCGTTTCTGCTTTCCATTTTAAACGTTCGAAAAACGTAGGAAAATTGTTCGGATCGCAATTTGAATATAGATGTAAAACTTTACTTGATCGATCTTTTATTTTAAAAAATGAAGCATATCTTATTGAATTTCAAATGTGTATCTGACTTTTATCTTAACAAGCTTAAAACAATCTTATACAAGCTTCTCTCTTTCTACACCGATACACGCATTTGGTAATATTTACTAATGTCTAAAAAGACAGTTCTCTAATATTTGACATTTGATATTTATATTAGTGTATCTTCTTTTTTGTGCTTGTGTGCATAAACTGACCTCAAATATAAACAATTTCACAATCAATGTGCTTTAGAATTATCGTCGATCGGGAAAGAAGAAGAACTATTTTGTTTCTTTATCTGTTGAACGTTGCAACGTAGAATAATCATCGATTTGGCGAGTGCGCGGCACGTGGCTTTACTGGGCTGTTACCCCAATACGATCACACTTTAAAGCTTAACTATTAAGAAACTCTCAGTCCCACTACCACATTATAATTTTCTTCCTCCTACTTTTCTTCGACGATTTTACGAGTATTGTTATTCTATTCATCGGTAGACCACGTGTGCGGGATTCTCTTTATATCTTTCCTTTGGCGGTTCTTCAATATTTTTGATGCCATCTTCCAGTTTCACTTCCGGCAATCATCCAAATGTTCAGTGAAATTTTGCTTGATCCATGCTTTCTTTGAAGATTCATCAAAAACTGGACGGTGGTATCTTGTAGTATTTATGTACTTTAAAGTTCCTGTACGTAGAATTAATTGACACAATTTTTGTAGATATTTCATTGAAATTGTGAAAAATATTGTACACAAAATATATGAAGAAAATTTAGAAAATAGCCGAATGAAATACACCGTACGGAAGCTTGACCGAGACTGCCGGCTGTCGGGCGTATACCTCTACTCATAAAAAGAGATGGAAGTAAGGTAACGAGGAAAGGAATAGGAAAAAGGTAATGGTTGGAAAAGGAGGAGCGATTGTATGAAGAGAGAGTGGGAGAACGGATGAGACGGATGATGAAACTCCAAGTACGATTGACGTATAATTCAAGCTGCATGCCCAAATTGTATAGACACGACAATTGTCTATTACTTAAACTGCACTCAACGCGATTAGATCACAATTATATAATAACCTAGTTTTAAATGTTTCAATGTAAAATTGGCGGGAATCAAGCAGCTGGTTGAAAACATGACATTGTTTCAATTGAAAAAATAACTTGCAGTTGAATTGGAACGAGTATATAATTACTTTATAAGATATTAACCAAGAAGTAAAAGATGTTGAACCAACTTCTACACAATCCCTTCAAATTTAACTCTAAAGGTATCACCTTCTTTATCTAATATTTTTAATACAACACATCTGTAGCATAATTAATTCTTTTGTTTGCTAGTTACCCTACTATCCATTTTTATCCTCTGAAGATCAGGATTACCGCGATACTGGAATAAAAGGATACAAAGATTTATGTTAGTACTTACAATTGCACAGACATGTGGGTGGTCCTCGTAAAGCCCATAGAGAGAAGCAGAAGAATAAATAGCTGGGAAGAATGGACATCAACCTATAAATTACTATTTTGCGATTTGTTTGGTTTTTAAGTCTTATATTTTGCTGTTCGTTCTTATATTTCACTTGTTGGTATTACCTGCCGCCGGTATTACCTACCGTCGGTATTACCCACGGTCGGTATTACTTACCGTCGGTATAATTGTCGCGTACTAACACCCCAAGCCATTTATCTTGTATCCATGTTACATTACAACTAATATAATAAAATTTCAAATGTATTTATTATTAATTTTGTAATATATTATTTGTATATAAATTCTGAATTGTATAATATATTATAGTGTCTATCTATCTATATTTAGATAAATTTTATCTACTTATATACGGTATTTTATTACTCCCGCGTGCATCCTTTACATTCCAGCATTCCTTACATCCACGAATCCCTTACATCCTTGCTTTCTTTATATCTTGGCATTCCTTACATCTCTGTATCCCTTACATTTTTGCATCCCTTACATCTCTGTATCCCTTACATTTATACATTCCCTACATCTCTGTACCCTTTATATCTCTGTATCCCTTACATTTTTGCATCCCTTACGTCTCTGTATCCCTTACATTTTTACATCCCCTACACTCCTAAATTCTCCCTGCATCTCTTGTATCCTTACAATCCTTATAATAAGTATATTATAAACATAATAATTATTATAAAACCTGGTTCGAGTAAAGGTAAGTTCAGGTAAGTAAAGGTAAGTAAGTAAATCCTTTTTCTGCCACCAGAGGGCGCTGATTCGAGGTTGCGATTTTAGTTCACATTTTTGCCGCCAGAGGGCCAAAACCCTGCAAGCTTTAGTTCCTTTTTCTAAAACCAGATGGCGCTGATTCGAGGCCGAGATTTTAGTTCACATTTTTGCCGCCAGAGGGCCAAAAATCCTGCAAGCTTTAGTTCCTTTTTCTAAAACCAGATGGCGCTGATTCGAGGTCGAGATTTTAGTTCACATTTTTGCCGCCAGAGGGCCAAAAATCCCGCAAGCTTTAGTTCCTTTTTCGAAAACCAGATGGCGCTGATTCGAGGTCGAGATTTTAGTTCACATTTTTCCCGCCAGAGGGCCAAAAATTCTGCAAGCTTTAGTTCCTTTTTCTAAAACCAGATGGCGCTAAATTTATTTGTACTTTAGTTCTTTTATTCGCCACTAGAGGGCGCTGTTACGACCGCCAAAAGCGTTATTTCAAGGATGTAAGTGATGGAGGGATATAAGGGACCGCAGATTGTAGGGAATAGAGTGATTTGTGGAATGCAGGGCTATAAGGGAAGCAGGGTTGTAAGAGGAACAGACATTTAAGGAATAGGGAGATGTAAAGGTGATAGAGGTGTAAAGGGTGCAGGGATGTAAGGGATGCAAGGGATGCACACGGGAGTAATAAAATCAACACGTTTGTCCTCTTAATGAGATTAAATGAACGCAGAAAATAAAATAAGGGTACCTATATGTATGTTCAGCAGGTAGATCTGCATCCCTCGGCGGTCGCTATAAGACTGATGATGTTTCACTTTCCTCTACGTCGAACATTGGCTGTAAACAGTTTTTTTTTTTTTTTTTTTTAACGTGGGGAAATCTTGCATAAGACCCCTCGCCGTCCCCTGGAGGGGGGCGGCGAGGGAGTGTCAGATTCTTACTGACTAAAACCCCACGGCGACTAACAGTCGCGTTAAAGGAGGGCTTTGAGACCTTATCTGTATTGCTCCAAAGCCCTCCACGCCTGGGACACTTGTGCCCAATGTAATTGGTCTATATTACTTCAAAGTGACGAATGAAATGTTATTATTGGATATTGAAATGTTGAAACTTCTATCTAAAAGAATATACTTGTTACTAATGAAATGATCTTTCTTACTGTCATTAGTGAAAATCTTCCAAATGAATTGAAAGAAAAGTAATTTAATAAAATGATTTTGTTGCAGTGAATCATCAATAATTGGTTTATAACAATAACGTAACAAAATTGCTGAAGAATAGAGTGATAAATATTCCCCTGGTACCAATTTCGCATTTCCCAGAAAACGACCAAAAATGAGCGCATAATAAACCCATTATTGAGACATTTACGTCTACGTTTCTGGACCCGGTTGAAAGCAGATCAAACAAAAGCTTCGTTCGCTTTCTTTATAGTTATGTGAGGACACGTGCCCCACATAATTTATCGTCAATGGTTGTATCGTATTGTACCTATTATGGCCCTTACGGGCGACCACGAATAAAACCATAAAACGAAATATACCTATCCTAGTTGTCTGTAACTATTCTCTAATTCTATGTCTATCTACAATCGTATGGAACTTTTTCGTTAAATCATGTTTATTATAAATCAATTTTTAAAATATTATTATGGTCAAAATTAATATTTGATTTGTTGGAAAATGAGGGAACGATATCTTAATCTTTAAATAAATTTGATAAAAATTGTCACGATTATTAAACGATTAATCATTTATCTATTTCCTGTTAATCATGCTTAAATACGTATAATTTGGTAATATCCTACCGAATCTTCCCTAAAGGTGCGTAATCAGAGAACAGAGAGAAGCAACCCCTCGGTTAAAGTGTTAACTGTGCCAACAAACCCTGTTCCTTTCGCAACCCCTTAGAACGGTGGCAAAATACACGATGACCCTTTCCACCCTACACTCGAACTTGAAGAGAGGCTGCCACTCAAAGGATCGTAAACAAACTCCTGATCTCGTTTTAAATGTTTCGCACGCTTGCGAACTTAAACGACGATTATCGTATCGAGCAAACAATAAATAGAAACGTCTTAATAGACTTTTACTAATGATAATTAAAAATTAAAGTAAATTAGATTAACATTTACAAAATTTCAATATTTCCTTATGTATGTATGTAATTTCAAAAATTAGGGTTTATGCACTTTTATATAAATATGAATAAAAATTATGTTATTGTCAGCCTAGATTAAAATTCAATCCGATACTAGAGAACACTTGCAACATTACCATAACGATTTTAAATTTTGACTGGGTTTGTCTAGAGGCGACGATGCGTAGGTAATTTCTGTAGGGGGGCCCCCTATTGCATATGGGAAACGTCCGTGATCGTGGAGACACGATTTCAGGCGTGTAACCGTGCAGGAGGCATCGCTGTGGGCGCCTGGCATACTGTGCAGTCAATTAGTTTAATAGGCCAACAGTTGTTGTACGTCGGCAATACAGAAAGTAAGGGTGGCCTGTCACGCCCCGATAGGGTGTCATTACCGCCGATTTATCGATTTGCTAAAGAAATCCACAGAGTCTACTTTGATTCTTTCACATATGACGTACAATCATGTGAACCATCTTTATGGAACTTGACCTAAATAGTCCAACTTACACTTGATATATCTTATAAAAAATAATGAAAAGGATTTTGATAATTTTGCTGCAAGAAAATGAAGGGAGAGCCTTCAGTCCCAGTGGTTAAGGGTTGCTGGGTTTTCTTTATCTTAAAGAGTTTGTATTTTATACAATGCACATTTTACGATGTCCTGCATTTATAAAAATGTCTAAGATTTAAAATGACGTTGGTAAGAAAGTGTACCTATCTTAAGTCGAATCGAGATTTTAATTAAAGGGGAAATGGCGATGCACGATGTCGGTGGGCGCAAAGCGTTACGCATAATGTTACTCGACGTATCTACCGTAATAAGTGTAATCCGCGCGCCCTCGATCCTCTCGACACTAATAGTCGAGGGATAATACAGATTATAAAGCCCCCGATTCCGTTCCTTGCCAATGAAACTACCCTTCGAACTGAAAGCCAAACCTGCTGCTTCTCCGAATCGAACGTGTTTGCCACTCGAATGGCAATCTGAAACAATTCCGAAGCAATCGCTGAAGGTATCGTCGTGGTCAGCACTCTTCTCCTCGAATCGATTCTCGATTATTCCTTCGTTTCGACGATTGCCGAAGGTATCCGCCAGAATAGATTGGAACAAACGATTAAGGGTAATTTTAATTGTATTCAATATCTATTTTCTATCCGGGCTATCGTTGCATTCCTAGTTTATTGTAAATGCACTAACTTTCATTCGAAGCATTTTATAAGAAGAAAATAATTAAAGGTGAGAATTTCGTTTAAAAATTGGATATTCAAGATTCGGGGTAGCCTATCGTACTTTTTATTACCACCCTTTCAGATATGATCGGTATCGCAGACCCTCAAACCTTGCGTTTTGTACAAAATTACGTTTAGCTGGTTCACGAAGCTCCTAACTCTAATACCCGACACGCGTCCTCATCAAAGCGATCCTTTCACTATCGATGGTCCATTGAAAGGCACACTTAACCGCTCCATCTTCTTTTGTCCGGTACCTAGTTTGCGGTAGCCTGAGACTAACTACTATTCGTTTACCAGTGTGCTTTCAGCAAAGCCGAGGATAAAGTTAGTCTAATTTAATCGTTAAAGATCAGCCACCAATATCTGTGTAATTAGGGGATTAAGGCAATATCACGTGCCACCGTTTTAACCCTTGGACAGAGGACCATGAAGATAGCTCCAATATTAATTTAATTAAAATTAATTATAATTATAAGAATTACTCTTTCAATATATGAAGCTGTTTTGTTAAAAAATTGTACATTTGACTTTAGGTTAATATCCTTGTACATGTTTTGTAAGTTTAAAATATTGGAAATATTGAAATAAATATTTTTTTCATAAAATAATACCTGGATTTTATTTATAAACCTGTATTTCCTGATTAAAAAATGAAGAAATTTGAATATTGTTTAAAGTAACGTTGTTTGGTATGCAGAACATGAGGTATCTTTCACGCCTGATCAACTGAAACAGAATGGGATATCATTTTTTTAAGCATCCAGAGCTGAAAATGTGTTCACAGTAACGTCACCGACGATCGGCGACATTAATAAAATAATGCAGTCACGGACATCGGAACACTCGAATGCGCAGGGGTGAAAGAAAGCAGGGGGTTGAAACGGAGACGCGACCTTATGTTCGTACATCGTCACTCTTGTCTCTCTCCTTTTTCGTTGCTGTCAAACGACAAGCAAGGAGAGAACGAAGGTGGTAGGATAATTGGCAGGGGTCCGCAACAATATTTATTACACGCAGGGGTAGCAAAAATCATAATGGCCAACTGGGGTATAAACTGCACCAGCCTCTTTGCGGTTCGTTAAACGATGTTTCGTTTGGGGGATCGAGCCTGTTGCTAAAATACACGTTTCTCAAAATTTCTTCAATTTC